ACACACACACACACACACACACACACACACACACACAATTTGTAGAACTATTTCCTTCATGAATGAAGATGCAAAAATCCTCGAAGTTGCACATGCAAACTAAATTCATTATCACAGCAGAAAGATGATTCCTCATGACTAAGTTATCTTCATTCCACTGATGCAGGACTGGTTAAACATACATAAATACATATAATTCCTAATGTAAACAAAATAACATGCTGAAAACATATTATCATCACAATAGAGGCAGAAAACATCTTTGACAAACCACAGCATCCCTTCATGATTAAATTTATAGGGAGTTAGCTAGAATATGAATAGGTTATGCCAATAAAATAAAGGTTGACAATGACAAAGCTATACCAAAATTATACTAAATAGAGACACACTCAAGGAATTTTCAGTAATACCAGAAGTAATACAAGGATGTCCACTCCCTTGAACTCTTTGTTATATTCATGTGACCCTTAGCAAGAGCAACATCAGAAGAGAAATAAATAAAAATGATATAAGTGGGAAAATAAGTGGGAAAATATCATCCCTTTTTACAGATGATATAAAACAATACATAAGAGATGCTAAAGACTCCACCCAAATCTTCTTACTCCTGATAAATACTGTCAGTAAGAGTGCAGGATGAAAAACAACATAGAGTAATCAGTAGCCTTCCAATTTAACAATGACAGGCCGATTAGAAAAGAAATTGGGAAAACAAGTCCATGTCTCAGTTTCTCAGCCATATACAAGTTAAATATATAGGAATAAACCCAACCAGGTAATGAAAGAATTCTGCTATGAAAGTTTTCAGAAAGTGAAGGAAGAAATTGAGGAAGACATTAGAAGATAGAGATATTTATAAGCATTAATAGGATGAATTATCATTATGAAATTATAATCCAACTGAAACATTTTACAGACTCAAATCTATTCCTCTCAAAATTCCAGTGCAATTTTTCATAGACACAGAAAACACTATAAAGTGGACATAGAAGCACAAGGAAACAGACAGTCAAAGTAACCTAGAACAAAAGAAAATACACAATAGAGGTCACAATATCTGTTTTCAAATTATACTACAGCATCATTGTTAGACAAAATCATGGTACTGACATGAAAACAGACACAAAGATGAATGGAATAGAACTGTAATCACAGATACCAGTTTATGTACTTACAGTTACCTGATTTTTGACATGTAGGACAGAAATAAAATTGGAAAAAAGACATTAACTCCAAGAAATGGTACTATGCAAAGCAGATTTCTGTATGTAGATCAGGCAGGCTTCCACCCAGGGAAGAAAGGATGATTCAACATATGAAAATCCAACAATGTAATCCACTGTATAAACAAACTGAGAAAGAAAAATCACACGATCATCTCACTAGATGCTGAAAAAGCCTTTGACAAAAACCAACACCCATTCAAGATAAAGGTCTTAGAGAGATCAGGGATAAAAGGAACATACCTAAACATAATAAAATCCATATACAGCAAACCAACAGCCAACATCAAAATAAATGGAGAGAAACTCAACATGAATCCTCTAAAATCAGGAACAAGAAAAGGCTATTCATTCTCTCCATATGTCTTCAATATTGTACTTGAAGTTTTAGCTAGAACAATAAGACAACAAAAGGAGTTCAAGGGGACACAAATTGGAAAAGAAGTCAAACTTTCACTATTTGCAGATGATATGACAGTTTACATAAGTGACCCAAAAAACTCTACCAGGGAACTCCTTCAGCTGACAAACAGCTTCAGCAAAGTGGCAGGATACAGATTAACTAAAACAAAACAAAACAAACAAAATCCATAAGCCCTAATACATACAGATGATAAATGGGTTGAGAAATCAGAGAAAGGTCACCCTTTACAATTGCCCCAAACACCATAAAATGCCTTGGGGGTAATGCTAACCAAACAAGTGAAAGACCTGTATAGCAAGAACCTGGAGCTGTGAAAGAAAGGAATGAAGAAGAGACCAGAAAATGGAAAGATCTCCCATGCTCTTGGATAGGTAGGATTAACATAGTAAAAATGGCCACCCTACCAAAAGCAATCTACAGATTCAATGCAATCCCCATCAAAATCCCTGAACAATTCTTCACAGACCTTGAAAGCACAATACTCAAATTTATATGGAAAAGTAAAAAACCCAGTATAGCCAAAACAACCCTGTACAACAAAGGAAATTCTGGAGGCATCACCATCCATGACTTCAAGTTCTATTATAGAGCTATAGTCCAGAAAACAGGTTAGTATTGGCACCAATATAGACAGGTAGACCAATGGAATCAAATTGAAAACCCTGATATTATCCCACACATCTACAAACACCTGATTTTGTGCAAAGAACATAAAATTATACAATTGAATAAACAAAGCATCTTCAAAAAATGTTGGTGGCATAACTGGATGGTGGCATGTAGAAGACTGCAGATAGATCCATGTCTATCACCATACACAAAACTTAAGTCCAAATGGATCAAAGACCTCAACATAAATCCAGCCACACTGAAACTCTTAGAAGAGAAGGTAGGTGGTACCCTCCATTGAATTGGTACAGGAGACTACTTCCTGAGCCTAACATCAGTATCACAGACACTGAGATTGACAATTAATAAATGGCACCCCCTGAAACTGGGAAGCTTCTGTAAGGCAAGGGACACAGTCAACAAGAAAAAATGGCACCACACAGAATGGAAAATTTATTCACCAAACCCACATCTGACAGAGGGCTGATTTCCAAAATACACAAAAAAACACAAGAAGCAAGTCTCCAAAACACCAAACAATCCATTTAAAAAGTGGGGTACAGAAGTAAATAGACAATTCTCAATAGAGGAATCTAAAATGGCTGAAAGGCACATAAGAAAGTGTTCAACATCCTTAGCTATCAGGGAAATGCAAATCAACACAACTATGAGATACCATCTTACTCCTTTCAGAATGGCTAAAACCAAAAACACCAATGACAGTTTATGCTGGAGCAGGTGTGAAAAATGGGAACACTCCTCCACTGTTGATGGGAGGGCAAAGTCATGCAGCCACTTTGTAAATCAGTATAGTGGTTTCTCTCCAAAATGGGAATCATTCTACTACAAGATCCAGAAATTCCCCTCTTAGGCATATACCCAAAAGAAGCACATTCACACAACAAGAACATCTGTTCAACCATGTTCATAGCAACATTATTTGTAATAACCAGAACCTGGAAGCAACCTGGGTGCCCCTCAACTGAAGAATGGATGGAGAAGATGTGGTACATTTACATAATGGAATACTACTCATCAGTAAAAAAAATTCAATCTTGAAATTTGCAGGCAAATGGATAGAAATAGAAGAAACCATCCTGAGTAAGGTAACCCAGTAACAAAAAGGCAAAAATGGTATGGACTCACTCATATATGGATTTTAGAACTAGAGCAAATGATCACCAGCCTGCAATCTACACTGCCAGAGAAGTTAGGAAACAAGGAAGATTCTAAGAGACACATACAGAGAAGGGGAAAGGGACAATCTCCTGAGCTAATTGGGAGCTTGTGGGGATGGGACAGGGAGTTAGAAGAAAGAGACGGGGATAAGAGGATGGGTGAGGAGGACATGAGGGAGCAGGAAGATTGAGCCAGGGGAAGAATATAGGAGAGCAAGAAATGAGATACCATAATAGAGGGAGACATTATAGGTTTAAAGAGAAATCTGGCACTAGGTAAATGTCCAGAGATCTACAAGGTTGACCCCAACTAACAATCTAAGCAATAGTCGAGAGGCTACCTTAAATGTTCTTCCCCAATAATGAGATTGATGACTACCTTATATACCATCCTAGAGCCTTCATCCAGTGGATGATGGAATCAGAAGCAGAAACCCACAGCTAAACACTGAGTTGAGTTCTGGAATCCAGTTGTATAGAGGGAGGAATGTTGAGCAAAGGGGTCAAACCAGGCTGGAGAAACAGATAGAAACTGGTGCCCTGAACAAGGGAGAGTTTATGGACCCCAGACTGATAGCTGAGAAATCAGCATAGGACTGTCCCAAACCCCCTGAATGAGGATGTCAATTTGGAGGTCTGGGAAATCTATGGGGACTTTGGTAGAGGATCAGTACTCATCTCTAGTACAGGAGTTGATTTTGAAAGCCAAATCCACATAGAGGGATACTCTCTCAGCCTAGACACATGGGGGAGGGCCTAGGCCCTGTTCCAAATAATATGACAGACTTTGAAGATCCCCCATGGAAGTCCTCACCCTCCCTTGGGAGCAAAAAGGGCATGGGATTGGAGATTGGGGGGGCAGGGGAGGAGGGGAGGGAGAGGGAACTGGGATTGACATGTAAAACCAGCTTGTTTCTAATTTAATTTTAAACATAAAAAAGAAAATGAAACTAGATTTCAATTTCTCACCCTGAACCAAACTCAATTACAAATCGATCATGGACCTTAGCAAAACACTTTTAATAACATTAATCTATAAAGGAGAAGGTAGGAGTGTGTTATTACTCTTCTGTTGCTATGATAACACCCAATGATCAAAAGT